GGGGAAGTTGAAATATTTCCAGCACATTTTATTTGCTTATGTGTGTGTGTGAAAGGAGGTGTGTCCATGCCATGACCGGCATGTGGAGGTCAGAAGACCATCTGCAGGGGTTGGTTCTCTCCTTCTGTGACATGGGTTCTGGGGATTGGACTCAGGTTGCCAGGCTCGGTGGCTAGCATCTCCACCTGCTGAGCCGTCTTGCTGGTAAAGATCTATCCTTTTGATAGATTCTGATGCTAACCCTGTTATTCAACTTGTTCAAATCGAGAAGTGCGTAAGTGACCAGTAGAGCACACTTCTGGGCGTGTCTGTGAGAACAGCAACAGAGATTTAGAACAGACACGAAGAAATAAGACTGAAGGGATGATGGGGGAAGTCCTGTACATTTGTTAATAAAGCACTGTTGAGCCAATAGGAATCTAGATAGGTGGGACTAGGAGTCCAGGAGGATTCTGGGAAGGAGAAACAAGGAGAGTCAACATGTAACGCCATGGGGTAGGAGCCCGGAACTATTCTCCGGTAAGAGACATACTTAGATTAACAATTATGGGGTAATTACTTAAGTCAGAGCTAGCCAGTAAGAAACAAGCAAGGCCAACAGCTTCATAACTAATATAGCCTCCTGTGTGTTTATTTGGGACTGATGCGGCTCTAGAACCAGGCTGGCGGGAAGGCTTCTCTCAAGGAAAAGGTTTCCCTCAACAAAATGGTGATCAGGAGTGGGATCATGAATTTCCTCGCAGAATGACAAAAGCTTTAAAGGAATTTTAGAAACAGAAGAATGGAGAGAAGCTCAGATTTTTCGTAGCAGCATTTTCTCAGGTGGGCTCTGTTTTGTTAGCAGCAAGCAGAGACTCGCGGCTGGCTTAAGTTAGTCTTCCTGACTCGGCATTAAAAGAAAAAAAAACCCAGCAAGGTTGTTTTAAGAGACTCTGCTAACGATTTAAAGGTGTGTACGTACAGTTGGAAGTGGCAGCATTTGCTGGATGTCAGCATGGACTGAGGCGGTAAACTGGAATTACGCTTACGCCCACCATCTTGAAAAAAAAACCCGGCAGTTTAAACAGCCGCAGTTTTAACAGATAAGACATGTGGCCAGAAAAACATAAAGATTTACAGTAAAGTCAGACTTGGATGAAGAAAAACCTCTAAAGGTTTACAGTGTGTTTAAAAAAAAATACGTAAGATCGAGAGAGAAAAAAAAAAAAAACGACAAAGTGGTGACTAAGTAGAGAAGCCGGCTCTGTTGGCGCACGCCGGTCACGCCGGTAGAAATTGCTCCAGAGGCAGAGGCAGGCGGATTTCCAAAGAGAAACCCTGTCTCAGAGAAAAATAAATAAAAGTAATAATAGATAAATAAATAAGCCATGCAAAGATGGAAAATACACAGAGTCTGGATGCTATACGCTATTGTGTTTTTCAGTTTTTTTCATTGCTCAGGAAGGAACTGCTGCTAAAGTACACTTGATTATAAATACTGCTAAATTAATCCAATTTCTATCTTTTAAAAATGCCTTGATCTCAAAATTTAAGTATAAGGATATGTTACTCGGAAAAGGAGTTTTAGTTTATGTTTCCACAGAAAATGAAAAGCTGAGGATTCCTTCCAGGCTTCTGTGGTTTGATGAACCAAGACCCCCGAAACAGTGGGCCAGGCGTTTCAACAATTGAGACAGCTAAGATGATGGAGCTTTACAGACCACGAAAATAAGGACTTATACAGGTTTCTGAGTTTTGTCATGATCCCCATGGTATGAACAGCGCCCCCTTCCAGCATGAAGCAGTTTGGAATGAGCGACGTCCTAATTCCCATCTTGTTTATAAACTTGTTTTCATTTAAATGGGATTGTTTATAATTGGTTAATGATCACAACCAATCTCTTCTTAAAGAAAAAAAAGGGATTATGGTATGGAAATGAGTACTTTGTATTGGTATGGTTTTCATTTATTGATACAAATTCAAGGTCAATTTTGTGATATGTATATTTCTCCTCTTGATTAAGTATTGTGCTTATACTGATCTTTTAAAATGTAATGTGTAATTACATACAGATTATAGATAGTTACTTATAATAGTTAGAACTTATAGTTAGGTAAGTTAGGTTTTCTAGATAGATGGAGATGTATTTCAGACAGATAAACAGTCTTCAAACCTCTCAAAGACCTTCAGAAAATGGCATTTAAAATGGTTTAGGGATTTTCTTGACAATGAGAAATGTCTGCTCCTGGCAGCACCAATTATGTCTGAGAAGAAGATGGGCATCGAAGAAACTTGTTATGGAATTTGCTTTCAACATGGCAAGATTAGCCATTTTGGCAAGAAACTGCTCTCGCCTAGACTGCTTGACTGTTGTTGTATAATCTGGACATGCAGGACCCACAGGAAAGTGACTGTTGAACTCAGTCTTACAGGGTTCCTGCTTCATGGAAGTGTCTATCAGACTTTCTACAGGACAGAGAAATGACTGACAGACTGCCAGTGCAGATGGACAGTTTGAAATTTCCTGCTTTGCTGAGAAGTGTTCCAGACACATTGTGGCCTATGGGCTGAAGATGGATGCCCCAACGTTACAGAGGAACTTCGGGTGACTGTCCAGACAGTAAGATATCTCTGTCAATCCTAGTGTTTATATATTATCCTTCTGTGGTCTTTGATGGAGTTGAAGACAGATAGTTATAATTATAGTTTTCCTTAGTTATGATAAAAGATAAGCTACATATAGAACTTTGGACTCACAATGATGGGATGGATGATATTTTCTGTAAATCTTGCTAAAATATTGTAACTATGTTCTTACTTGATAATTGTTCTGTCATATACAATTGGACTATGTTAAAGTTAAGACCTTTCCTTTTGTTTAAACAGAAAAGAGGAGATGATGGGGGAAGTCCTGTACATTTGTTAATAAAGCACTGTTGAGCCAATAGGAATCTAGATAGGTGGGACTAGGAGTCCAGGAGGATTCTGGGAAGGAGAAACAAGGAGAGTCAACATGTAACGCCATGGGGTAGGAGCCCGGAACTATTCTCCGGTAAGAGACATACTTAGATTAACAATTATGGGGTAATTACTTAAAGCAGAGGTAGCCAGTAAGAGACAAGCAAGGCCAACAGCTTCATAACTAATATAGCCTCCTGTGTGTTTATTTGGGACTGATGCGGCTCTAGAACCAGGCTGGCGGGAAGGCTTCTCTCAAGGAAAAGGTTTCCCTTAACAAAGGGATGGAGAGGACTCGGTGTTAAAGAGCACTTGCTGTTCTCCCAGAGGACCCAGGTGCAAAAGCCAGCCTCAGCTTGGTGGCTCACACTCTCTCTAACTCCAGTGCCCTATTCCGGCCTCCTGGTGTACTGCATACATGCATGCCAAATACCCATACACATAAAATAAAAATAAATAAGTCCTCAGAAATAAGACTGGAAAGCTTGTAGTTTGCTCAGGCACATTTAAAGCTGTGGGTAAGCAGGACGTGGTGGCCAAAGAGATTAGAACTAGAAGGAAGCCATGGACCTTGAACCAGTATAAAAGGTGCTGGGTCCTGCACAGGTTGCACCTGGAAACCTGACTCGGGTGGCAGGAAACTGAAGAAAGGACAGACACACAGACACACAGACACACATACGGGAAAGCTGGGGTTGGGTGGGCTGTGCATAGTCTGATGGGGCCACCACAACTACACCACAACCCGGAGCCTCTGCAACACAGAAGGAGGAGTCAGCTAGTCTGAGTCTCTGTAGAGACGCAGTCATCAGGAGGAAGAAGCTGCAGTTGTTAGTTTTTGCACACACTGGTATACAATTCGCAAACTCCCTGGATTTGCTTTGCCATCCCTCTGAGTCTTATCTGCGGAAGGCTTGGGCACACTCATGGATCCGAGTCATTGGAGTCTGACATGGCTGTGTCCGTGTCAAACAATACTCAAGGCTCCCTTGGCTTTCCACAGGGAAGAAAGATCCTTTGAGGGTGTCTCAGAAATTGGCCAAACCCATTTGTTATAGGATCAGTGACTAAAACAGTAAACTCATTTGGAATACTTGCCTTTGAGAAGAGAGCTTCTGAATTGTCCCACTTGCCCAGAGGTACCTAGGGAATTGTTACCCTCGGAATAGTTTGTTCAGCCATCCGGGTACTCAGAGGCTTCAGTGTGGTCCAGGGGAGCTCAGCTACATTGCTAGCAGGCAGGAGACCTTGGCATTGTCCACTGGTTTGGGGGTTTACAGAAGGCAAGAGTAATGGGATCATGGAGACTTACACCCAGGTTTCAGAGTGAGAGGCCAGACAGTGTGTAGCAGGCTCGGGAAGTGTGCAGGCAGCCCCTCAGAAGGTAATGCATAAAACTGAAGATGTGTTGGAGACTCCAGGAAGCTAGAGATGCCAGAACCATGGAACATCTGGAGAACCACTGCCAGCCAGAGGAGAGCCAGCTTCAGACAGGCCACATGGGCGGCGAATGTCAAAGCCAAAGAGTGGGACTGCCCAAGCCAGTGGGGGCTCACATCACACCATGGTGCTGGAAAATGGATCTGATGTCTGTACCTCTGGGTTTTGACCTCATTTGAGCAGGTGCTTCTTCTCTGCTCCCCAGTTTCTCCCTTTTGTAATGGGGTGTTTCCTCTGTGCCTCTGGGTCAGGGATATCCCACTTGTTTGATTTTGTTTCTCATGGCTTTGAATCTCACAGGAACCTTTGAGGTTGAGCTTTGAACAGGCTTGGAACTGCTAAGATGTTGAGGACCCTGGGAGATGGACTAAATGCATTCTGCATCATGATCTGAACATGAGCCGCCGGGGACCAGAGGCAGAATGCTATGGCTTGAGTATGCAGTGCCCTCTACAAGCTCAGGGGCTGGCTGACTGCCTGGCAGCTGCCCAGCTGTTAGGGAAGTGTCTGCATCTGGAGGATTATGAGCTAATCAGTGGGTTACTCCCTTGATAGACTCATAATATGATGGCATTATTAGCAGATGTTAAAAGGTGGGAGTGAGGGAGTGAGGGCCTGCTCGGAGAAGACAGGTCACTGGTGTAAGTGCTTGATGGTTATCTCTTGCCTTAGCCCCTGCCTGTGTTCCCTTTCTCTGTCCACCATGAGGCAAAGAACCTCCTTTTCCACAATCTCCCATCACCACGGTGTTCTATCCAGGTACACGGGGTCAAACAATTACGGATGGAAACCTCTGAAGCCATGAGCCAAAAGCTTACTCCTCTAAGTTGTTTGTCAGGGGTATTGTGTCAAGGCAATTCAAAGTCCCTTTAACATGCTGGCTGAGTGCATCGCCCAGGGCTAGCACGAAATCACAGCAGCCCTTTCTCTGAAAGAGTAAGAGCGGTCACCCGAAAATGACAGCCGCAGTCTTTTTAAATCTGATCTTTACATCTGTGTCATGTCCTACTCGTTAGACATCCCTGAGCTGGGCATGATGGCACATGCTTAAAATCCCGGCTTCTTGTGGGGCTGAGGCAGGAGGATCATGAGTTTAAGACCAGTCTGGGCAAGGTAGCGAAAACTTGTTTCAAATTTAGAAAGAAGAGGTCACTGAATCCAGAGCATCCTGAAGGTGAGGGTGGATCTCAGGGATGCAGGCACATTGTCATCATCTTGGAAGCTCCCTGCCAGTTCCTTGTGCAGGTGTTTGAGTTAAAACTTGGAAATAATATATGCGGTGAATTTTTCTAGATAGCACTCAAGAAAGTTACCATGGGTTACTGCTGCTGCTCTGCATCATTGTATATTGATTGTACCCATTTTTTTTTGTGCTTGACTTAGTATTGTAATTAAGAGCAAAAGAATGGCATTTGAAATAAAGCTGTTGTTTGGATTGTGTAGCAGGCAGTTTCCAGCAAGAAACAGAAACCTGCCTAGATAAGGTAACATAGGAAGGCATTGAAAAGGGATTGATGACAGCAGTGCTTAGGAAAGGAGCGAGGGCTGGTCCAGGCTCCAGAATGAGAACATAGGGACTTGCTGCCATTCTTAGACCTGAGAGGGAGGCAATTAGCTAGAAGAGGGAGGGGTTCTCAAGGAGAGACTGATGCCACGTGACGTTCGTCTGTAGAGTGTGGTGCCTGGCCATGGCGGCCCAGCAAGGTGGGGGCTAAAGGAACAGATACCTCGACTTACTCCTTTCTTCAAGGGTCACTTGTCTGCTGAGCTGGGCTGGGGGCCAGAGGACAAGGAAAACACGATACCGTCCATGTGGCTCAAGTTTTCTTGGTTAGAGCAAGGTGGAGAACGGTGGTCGTGGACTGCAGTGGTGAATGGGAAACGTCGAGCTGGACAGCGTATCTATTCACTAACAGAACGTTCCCTGGGGATTTGAGACGTGGCCCCTTCATACAAAAGAGAAAGTGAAGCTTCTGAGTTTCCAGGGCAGAGCATCAAGAGTCATAAAGCTCACATCACTCCCCTGGCAAGGCAGCTCCCTGAGAGATGCAGAGAAAGACAGCAGCAACTGAGGTTCGGAGAGAAGCGAAACGTAATATAATGACAGAGAAAAGGGGTGCTCACAGTAGACTGGGCAGGTGGGGTACCCTTCCTGGTGTCTGTATTCATGGGGAGCGCCTGTGGAAATCTCAATTTTCTAATCCGTTTCCCGTTTCATCCATGTATATAGTGTGCCGTGGTCACATCCGTGTATATAGCGTGCCGTGGTCACATCCATCCCCATTAGGTTCTTTTCTCCCCCCCCCCACTCATGGTGACACCTTTCTTCCACACGAATGTCCCTCCTAACACGTCTCCTTTCTTTTTTTCTTTTCTTGTGATCCACTGAATTTAATTGCAACTGCTTGCATGATCTTGGGGAGGGGCTATTTACTGGCATGTGGACAGCCAATGAGTGGCTGTAACACTGGAGAAAATGACTTCCTCGTCTCAGGGCTTTTGAACAGGTTATTTCCATGCTTTAAGATTATAGGAGTACAGAACACTGCAAAGGTCAAAGAGGTCGAATTTACTTAAACTATTTGTTGTGGCAATTGACATTTACTTTTTAAATAATTTATTTGTTTTTATTTTATATTTTGAGCATTTTGCCTGCGTATATGTATGTGCATTTTATGCATGCCTGATGATTGCAGAGTTTAAAAAAAAGGTCTCAGATCCCCTGGAACTGGAGCTACAGATGGTTGTGAGCCACCATGTGGGTGCTAGGAATTGAACCCCAGGTCCTCTGCAAGAGCAGCCAGTGCTCTTACTCACTGAGCCATCTCTCCAGCCTTACATTTATTCTTTAAATGTGAGGATGCTGTTAAGATAAGGGGATCCTGGACGATGAGGGAGCTGGAAAGATGGCTCAGTAGTTAAGAGCACCGACTGTTCCTCCAGAGGATCTGATCTGGGTTTAATTCTCAGTGTTCACATGGCAGCTTACAACCATCCGTTAACTCCAGTCATAGGGAAATCCAACGCCCTCTTCTGGTCTCTCTAGGTACTGCATGCGTGTGGTAACCCATCATACACACACATGATAAATATAAAATGTTTACATTTTTAAGATAAATATTTAAAAGAAGAGATGGGGGCATTTGTTAAAGTATCCCAGAGCATTTTGAGGAGTTATGGGTGATAGGAAATCAGGGCATGTGAGGATAAAAGAGACATCAAAGGAAGACTACCAATTAATGCTTACTTATAAGAACTCATTCCCAGGAAGGCCTATGACAGAAATCTTAACAGATCCCTTGCTAGGGATGCACATAAAGGGTAACAAAAATTTAACCCAAAGCTGAAAAAACACCAGAAAAATGTTATTTAAAATTTGCACATTCTGCTGGGCAGCACTTGGGAGGCAGAGGCAGGTGGATCTCTGTGATTTCAAGGTCTACAAAGTGAGTTCCAGGACAGCCAGGGCTACATAGAGAAACCCTGTCTCTGGAAAAAAAATTGCAGGTTTCCAAGTGAATATGTACAAATGTCTAGTACACACAGGAGACAAACGCAATTTCTCTGCTTGTCGTCCGCTGTTTTCAGTCCAGGGACAGTGTGCCCCATCCTTCTTCCTCCTTACGTTCATTTTCTTTTCTCGTTTTCAGGATTGTTTGCCAGCAGCTCTGTTGGTTCAGGGAAGGCTCTAGAAAACTGTTCTGCAATTCTTTCATGATTCTGTCAGTCACGTGTGGCCTGTGGAGAAACAGGAGAGGCTCAGGGAAAGAGTTTCACACTCATAGTTCCCAGAGGACCAAGTGGACAGGCCTGGCATGGACAGGAGGCAGGGGTGGACAGGAGGACCCTGGTCTAGGCTTTTACTGGGTTTCTATGGGAAAGGGAAGCTGAGCAGTGGAGAAGTTTCTGGTCTGAATTATTTTGGATGACTTCAAGCTGTCGGAGTGCTCTCGGGTAGCCTGAAATCTGGCCCTGGGACAGTAAAGGTGAAGGAGTGAATGGCAGATAGAAGAAGTCTGGCTCTGGGCTGGTCAGTTTGCATCTTGCAATCTTGTTCCTGTCAGGGGCCCTTGCTACCTCTAGGAATGAGAGCAATTCCCCAACAAGGCAGCCCTTTCCAAAGCCACAAAATGCCAAATGTGATAAACAATTATGTATACAAATCAATCGGAGCCAGGGAGAAGTGTAAGCAGGAGCTGTCCTCAGAGAGTAACTGAGAGGGAAGAAAGCATCACCCGGGCCTCAAGCACTCTCTGCAATCAGAGTGAGGGGTTAAGGAAACATTTGGGTACCATCTGGTTTATTCCTTTCTTGATCAAGATGAAAAAAACAAAAACAAAAACAAAAACTGAGGCCCATGGCTGACTGTGACAGTGTGTCCGCTGTCCTAAATACTTGGGAGGCCGAAACAGGAGATTTCTAGAACCTAGAAATGTGAGGGCAGCCTGCGCAACACGGTGAAACCCTGAGCCTACCTGAAAAGAGAGAGGAGACAGAGAAGATGGGCGGTGGGGGTGGGGTGGGGGGGTGGGGGGGAGGAGCCCACATAAAATGCTGTTTGTGGTGGTATAGGCACAGACAGCACTGGGGAGCCTGAGACAGGCAGATCCTGGGGTTCACTGGCTGGCTGCCCTTGCCTGCTTAGCAAACTCCCAACCGCCAGGAGATGTTTTCTCAAAACCCAGGGTAGATGGCTTGTGAGGAACAACACCTGAACTGTGGTCCTGTTCTCCACACAACCACGCACACACAGACACATGCACAGAAATTCACAAAATTTAAACATCAGAATATCCAAAATCTGAATAATAAATCAATAAAAATAGAACATATGAAGTTGTAGAGAGAAGCCTTTTCCTTGCTGCCGCTTGGTTTTTTTCCCCACCAGTCGCCTGGGCTCTGCCGCGTTGTAGTCCCCAAATAACACACAAGACACTGTATTAGTTATGAAGCTGTTGGCCTTGCTTGTTTCTTACTAGCTAGCTCTGACTTAAGTATTTATCCCATAATTGTCAATCTAAGTATTTCTCTTACCGGAGAAGTTTCCGGGCTTCTTATCCCTATGGCGGTTACATCTTGACTCTCTGTGTTTCTCCTACCCAGAGTACTCCTGGACTCCTAGTCCCACCTATCTTGCTTCCCTATTGGCCAACAGTGCTTTATTAACATATACACAGGACTTCCCAACACGAAGTGAGAATAGTTATGAAAATCTAGGTTCCACAAATTATTTTATTGTGTGTTTCAATACGAAACCTAAAATTTTATGAACTAAAAAGGTACTGATGCTTTTTTATTTAACTTTTTCTTTCTTTTTTTATTATTCAGTTAGACTTTATTTGACACAAAACAGGGAACTGCGAAGACAACGGAGAAGAAAACGTGGTTTTATCTAATTCATGATTAGCAAGAAGGCAAGCCGCTAAATATCAAACAGGTAAGCTTCATGGGAAGGTTCTTTCCTAGTGCCCATACTTTGGGAATTCCCACTCTGTTGTGTAATGGACACACCTGCCCTGTTTCGAGCCTGCAAAAGACACAGCAGAATTGAAAGGCGTGGTTACATGCAACAGCCCACCCTTTGGAAGTAACCTGATGTTCTATGCAAAGATCCATAATGTGGTTCCTGCAGATGGCACAGATGTCATCAACCACAATACCCCAGGCCCATAGGGTTACCGCACCCCGCCTAGTGCTTCAAAGCCGACAAGCCTTGCCCGCCTTGCTGTTGGTGCTGCTGAGAGTGTCCACGGCCATCGCTGCCGCCATTTTGGAAACACACTGACAGTGTTTCTTTTCAAGATAGCAGATGTTCTGGTCTTTTTTCTTCTTCTTTTTGGCTTTTCAAGATAGGGTCTGTCTGTGTAGCCCTGGCTGTCCTGGAACTCTGTAGACCAGGCTGGACTCAAACTCAGAGCTCTGCCTGCCTCTGCCTCCTGAGTCCTGAGATGAAAGGTGTGCACCACCACCACCTGGCTTATCTTTTATTATATTTTATTTACTTAGGTTGTGCTAGGTGCACATGTGTGCATGCCACTGCCCAAATGCCATGACGTGTGTGTGTGTGTGTGTGTGTGTAGAGAGAGAGAGAGAGAGAGAGAGAGAGAGAGAGAGAGAGAGAGAGAGAGAGAGAGAGAGAGAGAGAACAGGGCAGCGGTTCCTAGCTCCTGCCTGCTTCCTGGTGGGCTCTCATGCAACAGAATGTGCCTCACAGTCTGCCCCCACACACACAAACTAGTCACATGGGCACCACATGGGGAGCTTGTTAAGACTGCAGGGTTATAGGCCCTACCCCACACTCACTGGGTCTGAGCCTGAGTCTTTTTTTTTTAAGATTTATTTATTATGTACACAGTGTTCTGCCTACACGTATGTCAGATCGCCAGAAGAGGGCGCCAGATCTCACTATAGATGGTTGTGAGCCACCATGTGGTTGCTGGGAATTGAACTCAGGACCTCTGGAAGAGCAAGCAGTGCTCTTAATTTCTGAGCCATCCCTTGAGCCTGAGTCTTAAAAGATTCTCTGAGTAAATTAAAGTTCAAGAAACACTGGCAGGGCATTGTGGTTACCATAATACTCTAGTGACACATATTGTATTAGAAAACAGTGGCTGGGCAGTGTTGGCGCAGGTGGGGCGGTGGTGGCGCACGCCTTTGATCCCAGCACTCGGGAGGCAGAGGCAGATGGATCACTGTGAGTTCGAGACCAGCCTGGTCTATAAGAGCTAGTTCCAGGACAGCCTCCAAAGCCACAGAGAAATCCTGTCTCGAAAAAACCAAAGAAAAGAAAAGAGTGATGCAGGGATTAAGAGTTCTCAACAACATGCAGGTGTGCACACACACCAGTAAGTATATGAGGTAATGCATGGGTTAAATAAGTTGACAATTCACAATGAGTATATATATACACATACATATGTATTGTTCATCCGAAACATATAGTTTTTACTTGTCAATTAAAATACATTAAAAAAAATTGCTGGGTGAGCCGGGCGTTGGGGGCACACGCCTTTAAGCCCTGCACTCGGGAGGCAGAGGCAGGCGGATCTCTGTGAGTTCGAGGCCAGCCTGGTCTAACAAAGTGAGTTCCAGGACAGCCTCCAAAACCACAGAGAAACCCTGTCTCGAAAAACCAAAAAAAAAATAAAAAAATAAAAAGATCAGAGCATGGGTACCCTCGACCATAGGGATGCTGAAGATGTGTGTACCAGGGCCCAGCCAAGCCTAGTGTTGAAAGCTCATTTTAGCCCTATCGTGGGCATATGTTGACCTGAGACCATGGTGTGGGCTTCTGCATGACCTGTACTGCATATGCTTCTTACGGCTTGCCCAGCAATACACAGCTTCTGGGAGCTGGGCTGTGGGTACTGGGCGGGGGGGGGGGGGACGACACAAGCCTTTGCAGGAGGAGATAGGGGAGGGGAGCCAGATCTGGGGGCCAGACAGCTACCCTGTTTGTTCACATGGATTCTCCACTAGACCCTAGGCTGCTTAAGGACGGGTCTTCCTTCTCACATGAAGTTTGTGTGAGACTCGAATTTTGTTTGGCAGATAACAGTACATATTCTAGGTGTACTGTGTGATCAAACACAGACTAGAGTAATGTGGTCATAGACATGATTTCTAAGTGGAAGACCCTTCCCCGTCCTCTGCCTTTCCTGGCTGTGTTATGATTGTTTTTGGTGATTATGGAGATCAAAGTTAGCCCTAGGTGTGCTAGGCAAATGCTTCCCCACCAAGCCCGGGTCCTTCCCTGGGCTTTCAGCTGGAAAGCCACATTGTTAGGACTGAAGGGAAGACGGTTATCATCACTGCCACTATTCTCACAGTGCCTTCTGGTGAGCCTCAGATCACCATCCCCCCACCAAACCCACTGGGCTCTGTCGGTAAGCGCTCAGCTAAAGGTGGGGGGCGCTGTGAGCCCAGCTTTAACTCCAAACCTGGAAGAGATCCTGTCTAGTCAATGGGGGTGAGTCACTGCAGAAGGTGGGGTGCACATCCCACCAATGCCCTCTCTACAGTGTCTTCCAGGAGAATGTCTTTGGGGCTGGGTAGACATGTTCCTCAGTCTTAGCACTGACCTTTCTTGCTCCCGGTGGTATCAGGCTAATTATTTCTTTCTCATGAAAACTGATTTCCTTGTTTACAAAATGTGCGTAATAGAAACTTCCTCATGGAGCATTGCTATGAGAAAGAAAACAAATGTGCCTTGGAGTATCTTAGTGAGATATTTGAGAGCTCTTAGGGAACTGGGAAACTCCTCTAGGGCCACAGGTGACCATGGCCAGCCCTGACACACAGACACGTTCATGCCAGAGCTCCGGATAGGGCCCTGCTGCTCCAACACTCATGAACTACCTCATGTCTGGGTCAGAGGGACAGGGCTGTCACTTGGGAGGCAAGGATTCCGCAGCACCTGGACCAGATTGTGTACTGGGCTGTCTTGGCTGTAGGACACTGGCTTCTCAGGCATGCCTTGGGTCTCCATGGGCCATGAGTCCTTCTGATGCCCCCTCACAGAGGCACCTTCATATAAAGCAATTTAGAAAGTGGGAAATGTTAACATTATAAAGTCCTTTGGCTCTTCTCACTAGGCCTGTCCCCCTTATTGTCTGCAGACATTCTAGGGTCCTTCAACTCCTGTAAATAACACCTATCTTGTTCTCGCTCATGGAGTCCTGGAGTGGGAGGAGGGGTCTCAAATCTCAGCAAGTCCCAGAAATCACACGGCCAGGTAGAAGAGCTAGTTTGGAAACCTTTGAAGAGGTAAAGCAGGAGAGGGGGCAGGGAGCTTTCCAGACACAGACACAGCAGGTGAATCCCTGGGGCCCTTTCTCCTTCCTCCCTGTAAAGCTTACAAAGCCTTTGTCACACACTTCCTTACTGCCACTCAGCCAAACCACACAACTGCATCCAGAAACTGGAGAGAGAAAGCGAAGGGTGGGCTGCTGGCAGCCTCACTCTGGTTCCGGCCACTTCCCCATTACTGGGCAGGAGCTTTTTTTTGGTTTTGGTTTTTTTGAGACAAGGTTTCTCTGTATTGCTTTGGAGCCTGTCCTGGAACTCACTCTGTAGACCAGGTTGACTTCGAACTCACAGCGATCAGCCTGCCTCTGCCTCCCAAGTGCAGGGCTCAAAGGCGTGCGCCACCAACACCCGGCTCGGGCAGGAGCATCTGTTTTGTTTTGTTCTGCTTGTTTTTCTTTTCTTTCTTTCTTTCTTTTTTTTTTGTGGGGGGTTTACAAGACAGGGTTTCTCTGTATTGTTTTTGAGGCTGTCGCTGCTTGTTTTTCTTTTCTTTCTTTCTTTCTTTTTTTTTGGGGGGTTTTACAAGACAGGGTTTCTCTGTATTGTTTTTGAGGCTGTCGCTGCCTGTTTTTCACCTGAGTCTTCTTTGCATGCTGGGGCACTTCTGGTTTCTGCCGTGTCCAGGGGTCTAACTTCTTGATGGCTCTTACATCCTCCCAGGCAACAGAGAGATGACTTGTCCAACAATGTTCCCAGGCTTTAGGGTAGGACCATTCTTTGTGGTTGGGCCATCCTGGGTGTTGAAGAGGCTCCATGGCATCCCCAGCCTTGGTCCTGTAGGTGTTAGCTGGACCCCCACATACCAACCTGAGACTCTACTTCATAAAAGATTCCAAGGGCTCCAGCCATGTCCACATCCCAGCCTCTCGTGCACAAACCACTTTGTTTCCGGGTGTTTTACTAATTCTCCTTGTCAAAGCCAGTCTCTGTCAGCTTTGCTGAGGCAGCACCTGTACTGAATTCTCCTGGAAGAGACTTTATAGGGAGCAGAGGGCAGGGAAGACCAACTACTATTCATTCCTAAGGCAGAAGTGTGTTCCCCTAGCCAGACCTACAGGGAGACCTGCAAAACATCAGACCTGACCAGGGCTGAGGGCGGGGGACACACACACACACACACACACACACACACACACACACACACACACACACATACACACACACACACACACACACACACACACAAGAAGCACCATGTACCTGCGTGGTTCTGTGTCAGCCCTACTCCAGGAGCTGTCTGAACAATCCTGGTCCGGACACTCCCTACAGAGATAATAGCTGCCCTGAGTCATACATTTTAGCCCCAATTCTTGTTTGACTTTCTTTTTGGGACAGCCAGCTCACCAATAGTGACATGGAGACTTATTATTAATTATGAAAGCTTGACCTTAGCTTGGACTTTTCCCCAACTAGCTCTTATAACTTAGCCTGTTTTTATTAATCTGTGTTCTGCCCCATGGCTTGGCTACCTCTCCTCTGTTCCATGTGTCCAACTTCTTTAGGGTCTCACTGGCATCTCTGCATCTCCCTTTCCTTGAAAGTCCTGCCTAGTCTCTACTGCCTAGCTATTGGCCATTCCACTCTTTACTGAACCAATCGCAATGACACACCTTCACACAATGTAAACAAATATTCCTCAACAACCTCTCATCTGTAAAATGACAGCTCTGAGCCTGAAAAAGTGAATTCTATGAGTGCTGTGGGCCAGCCAGTGGGCTGCTTAAAGATGGTAAAGAACTATCAATACAGCCCTAAATGGAATATATATCATGTACCCTCCCCCCCCCAAGTCAGGGATCACAGCTGAGTGGGGTGGGGAAGAGTGTAAGAGTGTAAGAGCCAGGGCCGGTGGATGACTATAAGGAATTGTCTACTGCTGCCCACATGAACTCTCAGAGGCTGTGCAAGCCAGACCAAATCCCAGCACCGAGAAGGGAGCTCTCATGCAGTCTCACCCCGGCTGACAATCTGTTGTCAGCTGTCAGCTGCTGAACGAAGAGGGGTCAGCTTTCTCTAGGAGTGTGGCCTCAGGTAAGTCAACCTTGTTCTGGTAGAAGGCCACACATCCAAGAAAATGTGGACAACGCAAATTAGACTAGCTGGTGAGGGAGAGGAGGAGGAAGACACAAGTTACAAGGATAGGGAAGGGGGACAGATATGGGAGGAGTTGGGAGAGGGATGAATATGACATGAATGTAGACATATATATATGCACACACACACACACACACACACACACGGAGGAGCTTAATGTTTCTAGAAAAAAACTTTATTCTGAGTTTCTATTCCTTATCCTTAACTAGCTTACCTTTCACTGTTAATGGTTATAATAAAATTCTAAAACTGTCCCCACTTGGTATTGACAATATTATGCTGCCCTCTGGGAAAATGATTTTAAATGTTCTACATGAAACACTGCAGTCTAGGAATCGCTGACTAGAATGCCAGCCACCCAAGCACAGAACGGGCGGGGCAAGCGGCTGAGCCACAGTTAACCGGCTCTCTCAAAGGCCTGACCAGGAGTCCACGGCAGGCAGGATTTCTCTGACACCATGAGTTTGGGATGAAATAAGTCTTCCCTCCCATGGTCGTCCTTATGACACCACAGAAATTACCTAGTAGAGTCCAGTGTACATTTGGGCAGCAACTTCAGTGGTGTTGTGAGAAAAGCCATCAGATAAACAGGCACCTGGGAGCAACAGGGGGGCAGCAACTATGAACTCACCCTAATATACTTTATTCCTGCCCAATACATTTTCAAAATTAATTGACAAAGATTAATGGTGTGGATGTGTTAGCCAATGAAGGATTACACTGTGTCGCCCCCCACTTTCAAGCAGGGTTGTCTAACCTGAGGCCCCACAGGCCACATGTGTCCCGGGAGAGCTATGACTGTGGCTTAACATGTTTGAAGATGACAGTGTCAGTGTGTCATTGTCAAAGGTAAATCCCCGACTTTAAGCTATTTGGAGAGAGCCCTTGCTTTAATCAAGTTTAGTGTGATTTTGCTGGTTGCATTCCTGTTTTAACTCACTGGATGTAGTACTGACATTTTAGCACAAGGGGGCACTGCTACCTAGTTTATTTAAATAGGTTTTTCTAGGAGTGCCCCCCCCTTTTTTTTTTTGGTTTTTCGAGACAGGGTTTCTCTGTGGCTTTGGAGGCTGTCCTGGAACTCGCTCTGTAGACCAGGCTGGCCTCGAACTCACAGAAATCCGCCTGCCTCTGCCTCCCGAGTGTTGGGATTAAAGGCGTGCACCACCACGCCCGGCTGAGTGTCCCCCTTTTTACTCTTTAAATTTTTTTTATTATAGTAGGCTACATACAGTTGCTTCACGGAAGTATATGATGCACTTTGGGCGCATTCTTCCATACCCAGGACCGCCCTCCCCTCGGCTCCCTCCCACCGCTCCCTTTGTTCCCCCACAATGTCTCACTTCTGTTTTCAAGTCCTCGGAACACACAAGACTTCACATGTTTATATAAAGCCTAGGACCCCAAAGGAGAGAAAACAGGATGTTTGCCTTTCTGAGGCCATCTTAATTTAATACAGTTATCTCCAGTTGCAGCCATTGTCCTGCAGTTAACATGACTTCACTCTTCTTTAGGGGTCTACACCATTTAAAATGTTACTGTGGAGTGGGCTGTGTGAAGTTTGACCACCTCCCCAAAGTAAGTCCCCCAGCTATCCTACTGTAGTCAATGATATTTTGTGCATGGTGTATTGTCCGTCCGTCCGTCGTCCCCCCCCCCCATGGTTCTTTCTTTCTTAAGACATGGACAGCCTTAGCTGTCATGGAACTCGCTCTGTACACCAGGCTGGCCTTGAACTCACAGAGATCCGCCTGCCTCTGCCTCCCGAGTGCTGGGATTGAAGGCGTGAGCCACCACCACACAGTGTATTGTTTTCTAAAGTAAAGTGCTCTGAAGTTACACCGTTAGAAGACATAGTTTTATTTACTTTTGTAAACAGATACTGCTAGGCTAGGCTGTGGAGATTTGTCTTCAGACTTGGGGTTCACAATAGAGAAATCTGTGTTATCCACCAGACTCCTCGGGGTGCTGTGTGAGTGCAGCAGGGTTGGGATAATAGACAGCCACTCTGACTTTTCACGAGGATCACTGTCATGCTGAGATATTGTCTAAGTCTAGGCCTCAAATGTAGAGTGACTTATAAGACTAAATAATGAAGTAACACCAGTCCAAGGAACCCTGACTCAAGCTCACTGCACAGACCTGGGGGTTTACGAGCAATGGCATGGTCTTAAAGGACTTCTTGCTTTGTTAAAGGAACTCTATGGAGTTTTTGCATAGCAGACTCCCTAGTACTGTGCACACAAACAAGGCAAACCCTGGGGCTGGGGGTGTGGTTCGATGGTAGAGCATGCCTGTATGAGAGTTTGAGATCCAGTTTCGTAAAGATAAAAATGTATTAAACATCGGACTTACTAAAGGGGGTTGTATACACTGTTTTCACAGGTACCACCTTTAGCAAATGGAGTTTACGGCTGTCTTAAATTGCCTCATGTAAAGAAGTGGCAAGGTGCAGTTCTTTTAAAGTGGGAAGAATCATCACTGGGGTGGGCAGAAAGCTGTGTAATGTCACACACTGAAAATGAGATCACAGTAGAGCTTTAGTGAAAGAAGATTTTCCTCATTCCTGGCTGATTTCAGCCTCTGCAAAGAAATGTGTTCTGTCCAGGAGGAGGAGGAGGAGAGGGAGGGGGAGGGGAGGGGGAGGAGAAGAAGAAAACAGTTCCTTTTGGGGCCTCCTATAATTGACCCTCACCCAGCCCCCTGCTTTGGCAGCCATGACAGACTGCAGAAAAGACCCAGCATGATGTAGGCCTCTGACTCAGCAACATGAGCTGAGTTCCAGACCTTATCCAACTTTCCAGTCACAAGGAAGTCAGATACCCTCCATGTGGCAAGGAACCAGTCAGAAGTTAGCTGCTGGGCTCTGGATGTGCTTTAAGGAAACAGTGGAGTACAGAGCATAGCAACCGCCATGGGAGGGCTTATAGGCCATGGCAACCATTTCCACAGCTGCAGCTGGCCAATCAACACAGGACACAAGCTTGAAAGTGCACCTATCATGAGAGGTGTTGTGGCCCCAGACACTCCCCTTGCTCTACCCAATATATTCTCTGCCCCACGGTCCTGTGTCATGACCCCCCCCACCCCCATGTCCTTCTGCTCCACCCGCTATGTCGGAGGGATGGAGGACACAAGTTAATACGATTAACTCGTTAATTAATTAAAGACTCTTTGCTTTTGCATCAGATTGGGTCCCTTGGTGATTTGGGGGTTCAGAGTAATTGCATTTAATGAGGTAAGGTAGAAATATGCTTTGTGTCTTTAAAAGCCAAACAAAGCTTTAAGCCAGGCATAGTGGCTTAATGCCTGCAATCTCAGCACATAGGAGGCAGAGGCAGAAGAATTGAGAGACTGACGCCACTCTGATCCAGACATGCAGTCCCAGGTCAATCAGCACTACCTAGGGAGGCTTTCTGTAAGAGGAAAAGAAGAAGTTTAATGAAGGCAGGGCAATAGGGAAATGAAATATTCTGAAATCACAGTGGTGATGGCTATACACATGGTTAATACATAAAACCCACTGAATTGTAGACTTTTAAAAGGTGAAGTTTATGGTATGTGAATTACATCTCAATAAAAATGTAACAGAGAAAAATTCAATTCCATATATATGTGTGGAGACATTACAGGCACTTAACCCCATCTTGGGTTTGGCGTGGATACAGGGAAGGTCCTGGCTCTGGTGGGTCTTGCTTAGGGGGCATCTTCAGAGCAGTGTCGGCCCCTCCCTTCTAATTGCTGAGGAAGATGTTGCTGTCTACATTTGTGACTTCTGGACTCACAACCTCTAGCACTGGACTTGCCCAAGGTCCCACAGGAAGTGTGGAGTTTAGATAACAGAAACCAGCTGGCTAGTTTCTACAAACCACCTTGGATCATACTGAGAACAAAAGCTTTCCAGTCATAAAGTGATTAACCAAGCAGACCTTGCAGGATGTTACTGGATGCAGGTGTGTGGTAAGGAAATAAACAAAAAAGATGGCTGTGAGTGGCTAGGAAGGCTTTCTGGGTGAGGGCTTGGAGAAAAAGCTTGTGAGTAAGCAGGGGTTTTCCCAATGAAGTATTCCTAAATGCTCAGAGACGAGGAGGAAGGGTCCACAGTACACGCGCGCACACACACACACACACACACACACTCACACACACACTCTCTCTCTCTCTCGTTCTCTCTGACAAACTGAGATGCATGTGAATTTTATATTCACACCAGAATTCACATGAACACAGGGGAAGTCACTGGTGTTTGTTTTGGCCAAGTAATTGAAGGTAACTTTTCTACCAAAGCAGAGAGGAATGAAAACAAATTAGGCAGTTTGGCTTTCTAGTCACTTACCCGCTTCATTTTATTTTATGGTTTTTTTTTTTAGCACCTACCTGACTACTACCTGAGACTAGAAATAGCAAGAAAATATGGGTTTTGTTCTTTGAGAAGATCCCAAGCCAGACGCTGTGATCAGATACAGAAGAAAGTAAAATAAAGTGCTATGTGCCACCTAGAAAAGGAAGAACAGAAACACAGACCTGAGGACACAATATTAGCAGACAGAGGCTCCCACCCCAACAGCACTTGGGAGGCTGAGGCAGGAGGATTTCTATGAAAATGAGGCCAGCATAGGCTGTACAGGGAGTTCCAGGGCAACCTAGACTATAGAAGGAAACCATCCCTCAAACAAAACAAATGAAACAAAACAAAACCAAGCCACTGTGTTATATCAGAGTTTTGATTTTTTCTGGCTAAACAAAAATACTCCTTAAAAAACTACTGTAGACTTCCTTAGCAGAGCTTCCACTGAGTGACAGAGAGGAGCAAGACACAGGGAGGTGACCAGTGGGAGGGGACTGGGCTAGGAATCCAGGTGGCTTACGGTGGATTTAACATTTCATCCGGACTACATCTCTGACACATCCTTTCAGGATCATTTGTTTATTTCCAAGACAGGGTTCTCCGTGTAGCCCTGGCTGTTCTGGAACTCGCTCTGTGGACCAGGCTGGCCTCGAACTCGGAGTGCTGGGATTAAATGTGCACTGCCACCGCCCAGCTCAGGTTCTCTCCTTGAGGAAAGGACTGATGGAAATGGAAGGATCCATCTCACCCAGCACTCTCTACTGAAGCCCATTTTGACCCATTCCACACCCAAGAACCCTTTTCGAGAAGAAATAAGTACAGTTTACAATTTAAAAAGTGAAAAAACCTCCTTGTGTTGCAGAATAAGGTACATTTTATCATCTCTACTGCATCTTAGTGTTGAGTTGCTTTAGGCACACTTGTGTTGTTGGATGGCAATCAGTCATCACCATTGATTGTAACTCATGTCTCTATCTTGGTATCCTCAAGTCTCCTTTCTGTTTCTAAGAACCTGACTATAATTAAGGTCTCTCTTGTAAGTGGAATCACACATTTAAATGTGTGTGTGTGTCTGTGTGTGTGTACGTGCACACGCGTGCTCTATTTACAGGTATTCCTGAATGAGAGAAGAGGTCGTCAGACAGAAGAGGGATCTGATCCCATTGTAGATGGTTGTAAGCCACCATGTGCATTCTGGGAATTGGATTCATGACCTTTTGAAGAGCTGCCAGTGCTCTTAACCACTTAACCCATCTCTCCAGACCAACAATCTTTACACTTTCTTTTTATACTTTCAAATCTTGCATTTCCACTTAGCATGATATTTTCGAGGTTCATCCATGTTGGCCAACTTTCCTTGTATGTACATGCATTTCCTTTACCTACCCTCATGCCGGTGGACTCTGGGCTGCTTCATTCTTCTGACAATGTAAGTTGTGTGTATTAAAACGTTAGTGATTAGCCCCAAGTTACCAATAATGCATCAATGTCACATTAAGGAAAGAAATAAAAGAACTTGGAGACATTTAACCAAGAGAGAGTTCAGATTTGCATGATCTACTTCGAGTTCCCTGTGTCTTCTGTTCTTACAAATTACTTCTCAATCTGTATTTATTGGACTGCCCAGAAAGCATCACATGGGGGAAGGAATGGAACACTCTAAGAAAACTTTAAAAGAGTCACTGGGCCCACCTGACCCAGACAAGAAACAATACTGCCAACATCATCGTCTATTAACCAATATCCAAATGTGCTCAACTTTTGCGGTGGATATCCGTTTTAGAAGATTGCTTTCAACCTCTGTATTTGCTGTTTTCAGCAAGTGACACATACATGCGCATTGTTCGGGGTGGGGCATGGAAGAATACATAATTTAAGGTTACAGCTATGCATTGACTTAGGTTATAAAAGTTGGCTACATGGGACATCCAAGGCAAGTAATGTTCGTTACATTGTTCCCTTCCAGGTAGACTTAAAAAAACAGGCTGAGTACATGGTAGGACAGCAACCTTAAATCGTAAGTAACTTCAAGGTGTGTTGTTAATGCTGGCTGTGAGTCCTGCAAGAGTTCCAGTCTCTTACAATGGAAGAGATAATTTCATAATATTGACCCACCACGGTACACAGCATGGCTGTGAACAGGAGCATTTGTGTATCTGCTCCAGTTCCTGTTTTTCAGACATTTGGATAAGTGAAATTGTTGGGCCGTGTGGTAATTCTGTGTAACTTTGGAGGAAACTACCCAACTGTTTTTGCACGGCAGCTGAACCACTTCCCAAACCCTCCAGCATCGCCTGCAAGTTCCCACCTCCTGGTCAGCAATGGCAAAAGAAATATGGGCAAAGTCCTGAGCTAGGAGGTGGATGCATTAATACCATTGCAGGGTGGAAGGAAGGCTCAGTGGGTAAAGTGTTTGCTGTGCAAGCACGAGGAATTGAGTCCCAGCCTTGGAACTCACAGACAAATGCTAGACTTGTGACATGTGTCTGTAGCACCAGCACTGCAGGGGAAGGCGGGCCTTGGTCAGTCACTGTCTGATATCCAAGTTGAGGATGCCAGCACAGTAGATATATGTGCTCAGGAAAAGAAAACAGGGCTTACTCAAAGTGGCTTGAGTGTGCAGTGTTCCCTCTAGGCCTATGTATAGTGGTGCTGTTTGGGTAAGACTGTAGGGTTTAGAGGAGGTTGAGTCTCAGAGGAGGAAGTTCTCACTGTGGGTGGGTCTCCGAGTTTTGTGGCTCACTTCCTGTTGACCATGCTCTGCCCTGACCACTATAATTCCCCTGCCATGCAACAGTACCTTCAAACCGTGAGCCAGGATAAGCCCTTCCTTCTTACGTTGCTTTTGTGGGGTAAATTGTCACAGAGAAGACAAGTGACTGATACCCAGAGCTGACTGCCTTGCTCCTCTTCCCCTTTGATTCCTCTCGGCCCACCAGCCTATGAGATGCTGTTTGTGTTCACAGTGAGTGTCGTTGTGGCCTGCCCCCCCCCCAGCTGGTCCTGTCTGGAAATAACACCTTCACAGACGCATTCAGAAGCGTCTTTTACTAACCCCCGTGTATCCCTCAATCCACCCAGCTGAAAATGAAGATTAGCCTTCACACCAGCTTCGCTTGTCAATGTCGTTGGTTTTTTTTTTTTTATTTGAGAAGGGGGTTGTTAGATTTATAAAAAGATTGCTCACACGTGCCTCCATCCAGTTTCTCTTCTTGTTAGCACAGAGCTGTTTGTCTAGGGGAAGCATTGAAGACTGACCCGGTACTAACCCGTACCCAGATGTTAGACTTGGTTCAGACTTTGCCAGGTCTTTTCCCTGTCCCAGAGAGCAGCCGGGACCTGCCAGTGTGCCAACGGCTCTGCCTTGTTAATCGGGACTGCTAGTGCCGTCAGCTCCTAGCCTCGTGTTGCTGTGTCCCGTGGGAGCCGTGCTCAGGCAGCCTCTACGCTAAGCGTGGTGAAGACAGAAGGGGATTGATTGAAGGGGCAAATGGGATGGGATAGTGTGGTCATTTCTGCAGCTTCAGTGGTCCTGTTCTCACCACCTGACCTTCCTGCATCCTCACATGGTGTGGGAGGTAAGGAGGGGGAGAGAAAGGGGAGAAGAAGCTCTCGGGCATGCCTCTCCTCATCAAGCACTCACCACACTGCGAAGCCTTCGAGACTTTGTGCAAAGCTGACTACCTCCCAAAGGCCCATCTTCCGACACTGCTGCACCCGAAGTTAGCGGGCAGCATTGGAAAGCAGGAGAGACACAGTAACAGTTCTGTCGGTAGCGCAACCGGAACGGAGGGTGAGAGATTGAATCTCGGCTGCTTCCACACCCACGATGGGGGAGTTTGTTGTAAGACCCCTCCTCCACTCCTGGAAACCCGGGTTTTCATGAGCCCTCCAATCCAAATGAAGAGTCGGGAACCTGGGCCCTGTGATCTGGGTCCTCGTTTCCCAGGAAGCCAGATGCAGGAACACAGACACACAGGGCCAGCAGGCTGCAACCTTCACAAACACCACTAGGTGGGGATGGTTCCCAGCAACCCTGCATTGATTTTATTGATGGCCTTCTGAAAATCAGGCTTTAACTAATGGAAGAATGAGACTCTGGCTTGAGGGCAGATCGACAGAGCCACTTTTAGAGTTTGATGGGGTGCACACTGGTGCGGTACCAGGGCCAAGCTGCTCACTTCTAGGATGGGGGAAGGACAGACGGGGGGTCATGACTGCTTGGAAGGCAATGGATTGTAAAATGATAGGGCTGGGTAGGTAGCTCAGTTGATAAAAATGTTTGTCTTCCAAGCACACGGACCTGCATTTGGCCCCTAGAGCTCCTACTTAAAAGCGGAACGCCTGGCACAGTGGGACACACTTGAAATCTCCATTCTGGGGAGTCAGAACCCACAGGTCCCTGAGGCTGGCCTGCCTTGGTGTGCTCCCCATCAGTGAGAGACCCTGCCTTTTAAAACAAATGGTAGATGAGGGCTGAAGAGATGGCTCAGCCGTTAAAGCTAGACTCACAACCGACATGTCAGAATGGTGAATGATGCCTGGGGAATGACATCGAGGTTATCCTCTGGCCTTCAAACACACACACACACACACACACACACACACACACACACACACACACGGCACTTACCTCTGAGCGCAGACACACAAAGCCTCAGTCTCTGCGTTCATTTTGTTCATCTGTCTGTGGGTGAGCACCTAGATTGCCTTCCCAGCTCTTTCCTTCAAGGCATATTTTCGTACAAACAAATGTAGGGATTTTTTCTTCCTGTTCCCTTGGCTTTCTATCTAGGAGTGGAGTTGTTGAGTGCGGTGGTGACCCTGGGTGTGACTTTTGAGAAACTGCCAATTGTTTGCACTTGAAATGAGAACCATTTGCGATGAAAGTGCCTAGCACTGCTGGGGGGTGGGGTGATGGGAGTCCCTCTGAGAAGGAGATGGAAGCCACCTGGGCTCAGACCCGCCTCTGGTTGTGCAGTTTACAGCTCTCCCTGGGGCTGACAGGGATCAGATGTGTTTGTGGTTCAAAGGCCTTTGCTCACCCCAGAGCTGCACAGTTTGTCGGTCTGGGGTAAACTGCACTAAAGCTTAGAGTTTGCCACAGAGAGATCATTCTCCAGACTTCAGAAGTGGTCATGGTGTGTGCAGACATTTGTGGTTTCATTCATAGAATTTGAACTCCAAACGTGACTGGTGTAAGAACTGAAGAAAAGCCAGGAAGTTTAATCAGGAAGGCAGAAAGTAGGATGTCACTAAGAACAGAGACAGACCAGAGCCACAGAATGGCCTAGATCAAGTTAGGCTTGGCCAGGATAGCAAGGGAGCAGGAGACAAGGTCAGCTGGGAGTTGGTTTAGCATATTTTCTTAACTTTAAATTTTTTATGTATTTATGCATGAGTGCTCTGTCTGCATGTATGCTTGCATGCCACAAGGGGGCACCAGATTCCACTATAGATAATTGTGAGCTACCATGCACCATGTGGTTGCTGGGATTTGAACTCAGAACCCCTGAAAGAACAGTCAATGCTCTTAACCACTGAGCCATCTCTCCAGCCCTTGTTTTCGAATCTTAAGGTCTGGGTTCATATCTCAGTTTTTCTACTTCTAGTTGGAGCAGACCTTACCATTCCTCAAATTGATGACTTCTTTTTTTTTTTTTTTAAATAGAGGCATTATGGGAACTGTGTGAAATTATTTGGATAAAATAAGTCCATAGGGATGAGCTGATTCTCATGGTGTCAGAGGCTTACATGCAATGATTACAGGGCCTATCCTCCCAAGGCCTTGGGAACAAACCCCTGGGGCCCTGCTAAATTGGGAACATTGGGGTTCAGTTATAGCTCCATGCACACTTGGATTACAAGTCTTTGGGTACGATTCCAAGCATCCTTACTAAAGGGCCTCTCTAACAAAAATCTTTCTACCTCTCCTGGTTTCAAAAATCTACTTTAAGTCATGAGTTTTTTGGTACTATCTGCATGTTGATTGCCCTAAAATTACCTTTGGGTTAACAGGTGAAAGTAATTATGACTGCCTAAACCTAATGACTTAAATTAAATCCTAGAACCCATGTTAAGAGCTGGAGTTGGCTGCATGCATCTGTAATCCCAGAACTTCGCTGGTGAGTGGGAAGTGTAGAGAGAATTTCCCCCTCACACCCCTCCCTGCCCGCTCCCTACCCCTGGAAGCTTGCCTCGAGTATGTAACACAGCAGCAGAAATAACAAGAGAGACTCTGCCCCAAAAGAAGTGGAAGATGAGAACCCCTAAAAGCTGTCCATTCCATTCACGTGTCAAACACACACACACACACACACACACACACACTTTTTTTTTTTTGGTTTTTATGAGACAGGGTTTCTCTGTATTGTTTAGGAGGATATCGGTCCAGCCCAGCCTCGAACTCACAGAGATCCGCCTGCCTCTGCCTCCCGAGTGCTGGGATTAAAGGCGTGCGCCACCACCGCCCAGCTACATACACTTTTTTTAAAGTTTAAAGTTACCTAATTTTCTTTCTACTGTTTCCTCTGTAGCCACATCAAATGTTTTATCTCTGGGGGTAGAAGGTCTGGTAGATAGGTTTTCCTAGTTAGTTATGAAACTGTATGTCTAAGTAAAGGGCTCTCTGTGCTTTAAAAATCACAATTAACAGAGCTAGAAACATGCCTCAGTGGTTAAGAACACTGGCTGCTCTTCCAGGGGACCTGGGTTCAAGTCCCAGGTTACATATGGCGGCTCACAACCCTTTGTAATTCCAGTTCCAGGAGATCTGATACCCTCTCTGACCTTCATGGGTACCAGGCATTTGTGTGGTATTCAGACATACATGTAGGCAAAACACCCATTCATGTACAGTCTTCAAAGAAAAGAAAACAAAAGCAATTAGCAATGACCATACAACAGAAAACCCTGAGTATCCAAGCAAAACTCTCTGAGGAGTCATTTAGAAATGAACACTTTTCTTGAAGGCTCACTTTTATTTACTACAATGGACTCATTCTTTAGGAAGACCCATGGGTTGAAAGCAGAAGCAAGAGGGAAACACTTCAAGGCCATAGCAGTGTAAATGGAGATCACTACCATTAATAGGACATTTAGAACACTGCTAGTTTGGTAAGTGTGAAAGCATTAAAGAACTTCCTCTTTCCCATCTGTCCCAATGCTGGCTGGGGCTGGGACTGGGGCAGAGATAGACTCATCTTAGTTTCTCTTCATCCTTGCTGATGTAACTCAATGAGCCGACCTGCAAATACAGCCAGTGTCCCGATGAGACATACCAGCATGAAGACTCCGAGGAGAATGTGGTCCATCACCATAGCAACATACTTCCATTCCTCAGATGCCTGGGAGGGAAAAGGGCATAAGACAGGAATCCCTTAAGATGGGACAGAGGCTCATAGCGTTCCCTACTGACCTGACCATCAGTATGTAAATCTTCAATATGTAAGTCTTAAAGCGTGAGGCTGATATTGTGCTTTAGTTTTTTTTTAATCTTTAGTTTTTGTGTAATTATTTTACATCATAATGAGTTACCAAGGGGTAGTCAACACAGCACATCTTTTAACTTTAGCTTGAAGTTAACTCTTTGGTCAGGTTACACCCATCTGCTACACCCATGTGTTTGATCATGTAAACCCAGAGATGTGGACTCGAAGCCACAATGCTTACATTATTGGACTCCTGGTCTGACTTCATGGTCTCTGCGATGTACTTAACGCCCTCGATGGCACTTTTCACCTCGGGGTGCTTGATCAGTGGAGAGTGGAAGCCTACGGGTGGTGGCCCCGGCTTCCCAGAAATGTCAGAGATATCTATGTCTTCTGTAAAAATCTTTTTCTCTTGTTTATCTCTGGATGGTCTTTTCATTGTGGAGAAAAACATAACGTTTGGGATCGTGTCGATAAAAACCTAACCAAAAAAAAAAAAAGAAATCCATGGCATAAGACTTCTTGTCAACATTTCAAGAACTATTGTCTTTGAATTAGCAATGTGATCTTGGGCAAATCACTCAGCATCTCCAGGCCTCACTTTCTTGTTAAAACCAAAGGACTGCATTAGAGGGCAGGGTAAGTCTTCTGGGCTGTAGTCTACAGCTGTGATTCTGTAATATGAGCAGTCTGCCACTGGAGGGAGCCTGTGTGTAGCCACCAAGGCTGCATTACCAGACTTGCAGGCAACAGAAAGGTCCTGGCAATGTGTTCTTGGGACCACACGATTAAAGCCCAGTCCTGCAGTCTCAAGCATGTAAACGTTTAGCCTCACAGAATGACTGGACTGTTTTCTTCCAGTTTTTGTTCCTGATGTTAACTATACAAAGTCATCTAACAGGGAGAGTTAGTGTCTGTCCTCCAGAAAGCCTTTTAATCCCAGCACTCGGGGAGCAGAAATAGATAGGTCTCTGTAAATTCAGGGCCAGCCTGGTCTACAGAGTGAGTTCCAGGACAGCCAGGACTGCACAGAGTAAGTCTGTCTAAAAAAAAACCAAAACAAACACAACAAAAAAGAACATCTAAACGATAAGCAGGGATGCATTCATTTCTAATCAGAGACTCCGTAACCTCGGGTGGGCTTTATTCCTTCCTTTTGTCTCCAGGAAGGCTACATATACGCTGTCCCCACAAAAACTGCTCCAGGTTCCCTAAGCCAGGATTGACTTTAGTCCTAAGCGATGTTAGCTAGGACCTCGTGGTTTCACTGAGTCTCCTGTGAGTCGTCTCCACACTCACCTTCCGCACCCACTCAGGCATGACGTGGGTGCTGGGCGAGCGGTGGTGTGTGTTGATGACAATGACGGTGATGATGATGGACGCGATGACAAACACCATGGTGAACAGCATGTATTTCCCGATCAAAGGCACCGCACTGGAGGTGGAAGGGATCAGCTCCACAATGACCAGAAGGAACACCGTGAGGGACAGTAAGACAGAGATGCTCAGTGTCATCTTCTCCCCTAGAGAGACAGAAGGAAGAAATCCAACACCCGCCTGTTCCTGGAACCCCAGGACTTCAGAGCGTGACTGTAGTCGGATGTGGGGCCATTAAGGAGATAATTAAGGCAAAAATGAGATCGAGGGGATTACTGGTGTCACAGCAAGGGGGACTTTGGACACAGACGTGCACAGGGAAGACCGTGTGGGGACATGGAGAAGGCATCTTTTGCTAGGCCAGGAGATTGGCCTCAGAATAGACAAAGCCTGTGGGCTCCCTGCTCTCAATTTGAGCTTTCAAGAGCTATGAAGAAACAAGCTGCTGTTGTTTGAAGCACGCCATCTGTGGCATTCCATCAAGGCAGATCTTGCACACTCATCTGCCACCAAACCCGAGGGGAAGGAATGTGACCGGCATGTTCTCAAAGGATAATTCTAGAGATTTCTTTCCTGTGGGACCGCAGTGTCTTTACTGACAGCATCAAATGGCTGGTGTTCCCATTACAGGTTGCCAAGCAGCGGATGGCGACTTCATTTCATGCCCTAGACTCCTCCTTTTTGCTGGGGCTCAGGAAAACAAGGGAGATTCTGGGTTGGCAAGCTAGGTTCGGGGTGGAAGTTTGACTAACCCTCAGGACTGATCTTTTTGTTAGCCAGCAGATGGCTGGGCAGTCCAGAAATACATTTCTCTCAGTATGAAGCAAGCTTCACGGCCAATCTGGAAAAAAGTCAAAGTCTGCCATTGTGGAGCTGTCTTTGGCATGCCCAGGGACTCCTGACCTCCTGTCTCCTCTCTCTTTTGTCTAGAAAGTTTGCCTTCTCACTCATCCTTGGTTTGTTTTATTTTTCATAGTAGGGATCCCCTTAAAACCCTGTCTTTTTCCTACAGGCTCCGAGTCCCAGGCCTGGGCAGCAGGAAGGTCAGGTGGGGTGCTATAGAGAACCTTGGGCTGCTCT